CACATTTAAGGAACTACTGACAAGGTGTCAAACGGTGCAGCAGAACATACAGGAAACCACATCGTTGCAAGAAACTATAAAGTGTTCGCACTGTAGAAAATTCGGACACAAAAAAGAAGACTGCAGAAAACTTGTGCAACAAACCCTGCCCCAGAGAAAACCGCTAATTGAAAATCAGTTAATTTGCTATGGCTGCGGAAAAAAGGGTTTTGTGCGAAGTAAGTGAACAAGATGTAACTCGAAACCAAAATTGAGGATTCACCGTTAGCTTTTTTCAACAGATGTTGCAATAACCAAATCAAGATGCACAAACTGTAGAAACCACAAAAAAAAACGGCCGGAAAGCAATGAAACCGACATTTTGTGTCATCTAGCAGCGATCGACATGACTATAGATTTGGGAGAGGACGAAGCGATCGCGCTCACCGAAACGCAACGGGATGCCTGGAATCAGCTGCTTGACGAGTTCGATGACCACTTCGCCGAAAATGAAACGGCTTGTGCGTACGTACCGCATCGCATGACTGTGATGGAGGACACGCCCATTACGTTACCACTGTATAGGATGACTCCAAGGCGAAAAGGAGGAGCTGAAGACAGGCATAGACAAGCTGATGAAACTTTGGCACACAATCTGCGGACCGACGCAAGTTCTTATGCTCTAGGGGAAGCCTTATTCCAGGGGGAAAAAGAGGTCGAGCGGCCCGTGGAATATGCTAGCCGACTACCAGTCAATCCGCTACGGCGTAGAGATAGTCCAAGCATGGCCAGTAAACTCCGAACAAAAGTTTGTAACTCGGTTTTAGTTAGAGCTGCTCTCCCTAGGTGCGCTCTTGCAGCGATTTGACACTCATCGGGTAAGATTTTCAACGCAATTTCAAAACAATTTCGAGAACGTTTGTCATTTTCATGAGTGTAGTCATCGTAGATAAGGTTAAGTCGTTAAGTCGTTGTATTCAGTTGAGTTTGTCAGTAATTTAAGTGAGTTTGCAAGCAAAATGTCAAAGTGTTATGTTCCAGGGTGCACTAAAAATGCAAAATTGCATGTATTTCCAGCGAGAAATGACAAAGTACGTATTAGGAATAAAATAATCAAACATTAATTACAAATAAATATTGTTTTGGATGTTGTATATCGCGCGTAAGCTGTTGAGAGCGTTTGTTTCTGGCGCATTTTAGTAATTGCTCGTGAAGAAGTGTTCGAAGTTTTAATCTTTCAGACTGATAATATATTTTAACTATGTTTCAAATTGGAGATAAAATCGAAGCTAGAATGCCTGGATCCAGGCTTTATTCTCAAGCTGAGGTATTAGAGACAAAAGGGACCTCATGTCTCATTAAATTTGGTGACGGCGCTGTACATCAAGTACAGGAAATTTACATTCGACCTGTAACTAAAACTGTAACGCGATCCCGCCGACACAGTAGATCTCCATCACGAAGAAAATCTACTGAAGTAATTGTTTCAGATCTTTCAGAAGATGTTGTGAAGACAAATCAAAAATCATTGGATGAAGCCCTTGTGAGCGTAAAGCCGGAAATTAAAAAGCGAATTGGAAGAAGTCCTCGTAGACCCTCAACTGCTAACAGTACTACCAAAATGAATACTCGAAGCAAGAGTAGAGGTCGTGTTATACGTTTAGACAGTGCCCATGATGAATCGGAAGCACAGCAACCAAAGAAAGTGGTACGTCGCTCAAGTGTAAATCGTTCAACAAAATTGATGAACAATGCACAAAATCTATGGTCTGAACAACACAGTAGTGCATCTGTAGTCCTTCGTGATATTCTCCATTCATCCAGATCCAATAGTCGTCAAAGTTCATGTACGAACTCCGAACTTGAGATGATTGATCAAAATATTGCAGAACGTGAGTCTCCTGTTTTAACAGAAAAGGATTTCAGACGTTCTGACATAGAAGATACAGTTTCAGAAGTGTACATGATTCAACCGCGAAACATGTTACGTGTTACAAACAGGTCTACCAGACAAAAGTCGGCAACACCGGATGAACAAAATGTTGAACCAATAATTCATGAAAAAGAAGCAACACCTTTGAATCCATTGAATACAGAAATTTCCGATTCCGATGAGGAGGTTAAAAATGTACATAACAAAGACCATTTCATCGTAATAAAAATGATTAAGTTTCTTCTTACAGCTTTTTTGATTTCGGGCACGCCTTTAATTTGCATGTACCTTTATAATACATGTAATATGGACAAAGGCGTTAACAATAATTGTTTAGATATCAAATCAAATTTAGATTTAAATTCTGATCATTCGCCAATTATTCTGCAATATTCTACAACTACAGAAGTAAATCAAAACTCATATTTTCTAACAAATAGATTTACTAATTGGTCATTATTCCAAGAGATAATTGATGAAAAAATTTCTTGCAACATACCTCTTAAAAATGAACAGGATTTAAACTTGGCGATAACAAACTTCACAATTCTACTATCATCAGCAGCTCAAAAATCTACTATACATTCAAATGCAAGTAGCAAACCTAATTATCCTATTAACATTAAAAAAATTATAGCTCAAAAACGCAAATTGCGAAAAATATGGCAAACCACAAGATCACCGACCGATAAAAACAAATTTAACTGTGCCTGCAGGAATCTTAAGACTTTATTATATGAATATAAGAATGAATGCCTTAAAAATTATTTAACTAATCTTTCATCCACTAAAGACACAAATTATTCTCTTTGGAAGGCAACGAAGAGATTAAAAAGGCCGATAGTACATATACCTCCAGTGCGTAAACTTGATGGTTCCTGGGCAAGAAGTTCAGAAGAAAAATCGGAAGAATTTTCAGAACACTTGCAAAATACATTCCAGCCTCATCCCCGCAGTTGCAACGTAAATGATGAAGATTTTATTCACAATTGTCTACAGAATGTATCTATACCAGGCCAAATAGTAAAACGCATAACGGTGACCGAATTGAAAAATTATGTCAAGGCTGCAAATCCTAATAAATCTCCTGGACCAGATAAAATTACGATAAAAATGATAAAAGAACTGCCAGAAAAGGGATTTAGATTATTAACAATAATTTTCAATTCAATTCTTAGATTAAAAGTGTTCCCTCAAGCTTGGAAAATAGCTAAAATAATTCTTATACCTAAACCTGGGAAAGATCCTCATTTATTGTCTTCCTATAGACCAATAAGCCTACTTCCTTGTGTTTCGAAGATATTTGAAAAATTATTACTCCACCGCATTAAGTCAGAATTGTTGAATCAAAACCTAATTCCAAATCACCAATTCGGCTTTAGAGAACAACACTCAACCATAGAACAGGTACATCGCCTAGTAAATATAATTAACGAATCGTTCCATGCAAAAAAATATTGTTCGGCTGTGTTTTTAGACGTTGCGCAAGCATTTGACAAAGTATGGCACACTGGTTTGTTGTACAAACTAAAACTCTGTTTATCAGAACCGATATTTTCAATAATAAAATCGTTCCTTGAAAATAGGGAATTTTTCGTCAACATTAACAACGAGGAGTCGACCAGAAGAAAGATCCTTTCTGGGGTGCCCCAGGGAAGCGTCCTTTCTCCAACTCTATTTCTTATATACACAGCGGATTTTCCTTTATACTCCGGAACAAGCGTGTCGACATTTGCTGACGATACATGTATCATTGCCTCCAATAAAGATCCCGCAATAGCTTCGCAACTATTACAAGAACATCTAGATATTGCTACAAAATGGCTTTCTTTATGGAGAATTATGACAAACGGATCAAAATCTACGCATATCACTTTCACGCTGCGTACTGGTATATGCCCTACAATTAAGTTAAATGGACAGGAAATCCCAGTAAAAGATAGCGTAAAATATCTGGGAATACACATAGACACAAAATTGAACTGGAGAGTTCACATTAACAAGAAAAAACAGCAGATTGATGAACTATTCAAAAAACATTATTGGCTACTAAATAAACGTTCCGAACTATCGACAAATAACAAGTTAATTATTTATAAATGTATTTTTAAACCAGTGTGGTCTTATGGGATTCAACTATGGGGCACCGCCAAAAAAAACCAATCTACAGATTATCCAGCGAGTGCAGAACAAGATCCTAAGGCAGGCATTGAACGCACCTAGGTACGCTCCCAACTGGCTGATTCACCAGGACAGCAACTTATTGACAGTCAATGAAGAAATTCTACAAAAAACAAGCAATTACAAAAAAAGAATAGACGAGCACCCAAATTACTTGGCCAACAAAGTATACTCAGAAGCGCGCCCAACAAGACTAAAACGAAAAATTCCAAACGATCTTATAAATTTGTAAATTATTATTATTATTATTATTACTATTATTATTATTATTATTATTATTATTATTATTATTATTATTATTATTATTATCTTACTATTTCTATTATTGTTATTTTGTTATATTTTATTATTTTTCTAGTATTATTTTATTATTCTGAAATTTTATTTATATTATTTATTAATCTTATTTTTATTATTATTTGCTTATATTTTACATTAAATCATATTACGGATATTATTTTCATGTAAATTTTATCCTTTGCTCTTTTATTTATTTAAATTTATATTATTATTTATCAATACTACTTGATGTTAATAAATTAGCAGTTGTAATAATTATTGAAATTAAAAAAAAAAAAAATGTAATATGGACAAGTGCGTTTTTCGGTATCCCCAAGTAACTGATCTAAATAATCTTGAACTTTATTTTTCAAAGCAAGCCTCCATGATGAACATTGCCTTTCTTTCATTTTTAACAGTTTTTTTCTATTATTCGCATATTCGGAACTAGCGCCTTCGGTTTTCCCGCTAGGGATGGTGTTTTAAATTACTACTTCAATGGTTTTTTAGTGTAATTATCATCGCAGTTATTTTTACTTTGTTACACCGGTATAATTTTCCTATTTTGCAGTACATTCATGAACAAGATTTCAGATTGATAATTTCCTCCCTGATATGTGCATTTTTAATTTCGCTTATTTTACATCTAAGGAAGTACTATGTTTCTATGGTACCATCAATTATGGAACCAAAAAGGAATACAATTGCAGAATTTTGGAATGGATGCGAATTGAATCCTCGCATTTTTTCTATTTTTGATGTCAAGCTGATTTATTATAGAATGGCAATTTTGGGAACGATTTTATTGTTGACAGCCTATGTACATGAAGACGCTTGGAACCTTATAAGAAATGTGTTATATGGTGAAGCCACTGATTACAATTCTACCCTAATTCTTGTAACTGCTCTGAATATTTTTTTTCATTTGGATTTGGTGTTTCATGAGAAACAACTGACTGCCACTTTTGAAATTCAGAATGAGGGTACTGGATTCATGTTATTACTGAAGGACAATCTTTATCCATTTGTCACAGCTTTTCCTGTGAAATATATACTATATCGAAACATAAGAGCACCCTCTATAGCATTAGCATTTATCATAGGCATGTTTTTTGTTGGTTATTTGCTGTTTCGATATAATAATAACATGAAATATGCTGTTCGAATTAACCCAGCTGATTACAGAATTAATTATAAAGATTTATATATAACTTTCTCTGGTAAGAAGCTGCTTCTTGCTAAAACATGGGGTTTTGTTCGGCATCCTAACTATTTGGGACACATCATCGTTTTAGTTACATTTAGTTTTGCCTTACTCTGGAGTGCACCTTTCAATGTAATAAGCTTTTTGCCACTAATTATTAGGGTAATATTTCTACTACACCGAGCTGCACGAGATGGTCGCCAGTGTGAGAAAAAACATGGTGCCAGTTGGACGAGGTACTGTAATGTGGTAAAATATAAGATAGTACCACATATATATTAGTAAATTGAAGTGAAAGATAAAAACTCTTATATTTAACTGGGATTTTAGTGAGTTTGAATGCTGATATTTTGATGAGCTGGAAACATGACTATTTTTATTTTATGTACATTAACTATACTTGTATTTTTTTGTGATTTTACATTTACTTATTTTTATCTTACATCAATGTTTAATTAACAAAGATTTTAAATCTTGTGATAGTTTAAATATTTTGTTTACTAGGAATTTTATATTAAGATTACATTTTTTTAATTCTGATAATCAAGTAATTAACAATTTTGTGCATTTATAATTTATAATCAAACATGCGTACTCAGGGTATGCAATATATTATCTTTTTTCCTTGTATATTAAAACAAGAAATATGTTTGTGTAAAGATCTCTGAACTATTGGACTGATCTTGCAATATTATATAATATGAATTAATTGATTAAATTGTCTTAAATTGTAGATGTTTGCTATTTGGCTGGAAAGAACAAAAAATCCTGATCTTGAGAAATTAACACCTTCGCGTTGCAATATGTCTCGGTTCGTGTGTGACGCACATTTTGCAAGTATATGCAAAAGAAATATAACAGCCACTACACTAAAAACCTAATGCATTGCCTACATTAAACATGCCAGAAAGGCGATTAAATATAATATAATTTTCGCAACAACATTTTTATACTAATGTTTTCTCATTTAGGTTTCAGTGGAGATCCATATGCAGAACAAAACTGCCTTCTAGATAGAAACACATACCGTAATATATTTTACATATACTCTTAAAATGAATTATAATGAGTTTACTCAACTAGGTGTTTCAATACGCAAGAGTGAGGATATGGCACAAACATTTTTGAAGGTTTCGGGTATTGCATGCATGAATGACATGGGCAGCCAAAGTAATTCACTTATCATTACATAAGCTTTAATCGATTTGTATTGTTCTAATATAAAATTTCATTGTAGCTTCCTTGGACCCTACAACAGTAGAGACTCAAGGAATGTTTGAGCCATCTTATAGCAGGAAAGTCGAAACTAAAGGTGGAAAACCGTCCCTGAAAGGTGTGTTATTTAAAATTTTTTATACTACAATTTATGTTCGTAGCAAATGATTCTAGATTTTTTTTTTCAACAGAAATTCGTAACTCAATTTACAAGCAGTGTGGAGACCAGACATGCAAAGAACAAAATTTATACTGTATAACAAAAGTGTTGAGAAAGGAAGTAAGGAGAATAAATATACAAAAAAAAACAATGAGGCGGAAGTTACAAGAAAGTCTCAAATGTGCTAAAAATTTTGCTTATCTCCCAGCAACATTAATTAAGAGGGCTCGTAATTTTATATTAAGTCAACTAAGAGAACATACGAAAAAGCCAATAGGAAGAAAATTTACGTTTAATGATAAAATTCTTGCTTTAACTCTGTATAAAATTTCTCCAAGAGATTATTACTTTAGGAGAAAAATATTTGTTTTACCTGCTCCTCAAACATTGAGAAAGTTGCTCTCAGCAATTCCTTTGTATAATGGTATTAATGAGACCCTTTTCCAAACATTGGGTTCAGCTATGGCACAGAAAAAAGATGTGAAAAGCAAATACTGTGTTCCAATGTTTGATGAAATATCATTATCATCCGCAATATTTTACGACCGTAAAAAGGATCATATTGTTGGATTTCAGGAACTGGCAAATGGCAGGGAAAGTTTATTTGCTGATCATTCTCTTGTCTTTTTAGTTAAAGGCATAAAACATCGCTGGGTGCAACCAGTTGCGTTTACTTCTCTGATGGGGGTGTGAACAGCGTTAATTTAAAGTGTATTATTGTAGATGTCATAAGAAAACTACTGAGTATTGGTCTAAATGTTATTGCGACAGTTTGTGATCAGTTTGCTGCTAATGGCAAAGCTATAAAAATATGTTTCTTAGAGATACTGAGGAATTGTATAAAACACAAAATCTTGATTGGAATTGACTTATATTTGAAATAGATGGCCATGAAATAGTTCCTTTGTATGATCCTCCACATTTGCTAAAATGCATGAGAAATAACTTTATTAGGTATAATGTTAGATTTATGGATCAAAAAGGAGATGCATACGAAGCATGTTGAAAGCATATCAGAGATTATTATGACTTTGGTAGCAATTTGGGCAGGTTTTGCCAATGCACTACTTTAACGGAACACCACCTTGATGAAACAAAAATGAGAAAAATGAAGTTTAGCCTTGCAGCACAAGTATTTTCTAAACGGGTAGCGCTTGGACTTCAATATTTCATTGTACATGCTCACGAAGCCAATGTGAGTGCTACTTCGGTAGGTACAGGAAAATTTTTGGAGTTCATGAATTACCTTTTTGATCGTGTTAATGGTTTATCTCAATTTCCAACAAATGGCAATATATTCCGTTGTGCCAATAATGATAATTCTGTATATATTAAATTCTGGAAAATAGCAAGGCAAGTGTAAGATTCAATGTACTTCATTAAAAAAAAGATTCAGTTAGAACCATAATAAAAACTCCTGCCATTAAGAATTGGATCAGAACCATAGATGGCTTGGAACATATATGGGAAAAATCCGGTTAATTAATGGCTTTAATTTTTTGTGAAGCGAAATTTCAATCAGGATCAGTTAGAAAACTTTTTTGGCAGCATAAGAAGGCAAGGTGGATGTAATAAGAATCCAAATTCTTATTCTTTTATATCCTCCTTTAGGAAACTAATTATAAATAATTTTTCATCTCGTCATTCGCCTTCTAATTGTGAAGTTGATGACAATTGTGGTTTACCTGCTGCTTATCGAGATTTTCTTGATAGCGATCATGTTTTGAATAGAGAGGTTTTTTATGAAGAAGTTGATGAAGAGCCTTTTCTCTTTCAAGACATGACGCTTTATAGTAAAGCTGCCAACGCATATGATGCAGGGTACTGTATTAAGAAACTTGTGGGAGTCGTTATGTATATGAAAGTATAAACTCCACTTGCATAAAATTATATAAAATTTATTCATTATAAAATATTACTGATATGAAAATATAAATGGCAAGTCCAATTGTTTTTCTACAATCACTAGCCTGCTTGATTTCCCCACACACTCCCTGCCCAGTGTTGACCTCACAGTTTAAAAAAAAAAAAAGGGAAACACGTTATAAATAAATGGTGGGAAAACAAATTATAGCAGTGTTGTGATACTGGTCAATTAGAAATAAATGACAGTTTCGTCGGCAGATCCATCATATGGTAGGTAATTCGACCTTCCATCATCTTCAAACTCTTCTTATGGTTCTGAATATAAGTCATGTAGTGAACTTCCTGAACCTCGATGTCTTGGTGAACTTCGAAGATTCAGCCACGATCTACTGTATTAATTTTTATTTCTATAATATTTTGGGTAAACAGATGGCACCCTGTAAGAATATGAATTTTCACAATGATTAATATAATCTTGTCGACTTCAGTAGCCCTTTGGATCATACATCGGATTCTCGAATCCTTGTGGCTCTGTGACAAACACTTTTATCAATTGCTTACCATTTACACTGCCATCATAATTAATTGGTACTATTGCCATCATAATATAACAGAATTACTTGATGTTTGGTATGCATGATTTATGGTTACAGTTTCCATTTCGACAGATGTTGCATTCGTATCTGTTAGGTTCTTTTCAGAGAAAGAAGTTGGCTCTTTATCCAAACCAGGATCATTGGTTTCTTTAACATAAGAGTCCAGAATTGTGGAATCCATATAATAATTTATGTCATCATTTTGTTTTGACACGTCGCTGTCGATTTGTTGAGTTGAGTTAACGGACAAGGAGAGATTGAATTGCATTCCAATGAAAAGTCTAGGCTCCAAATTATTTTTTGTATCAGCAATAAACACTGAAGTCTGAGAATATAAAATGGGTAACCACGAAAGTCCGGTTCAGGTAGTAAGTGCGTTAACTATGATGAACCGAAGACTGGACGTACCTTATAAGTCGTCTCTGAAGACCAGTGATTATTGTGCTGCGTCAAAATCTATATTTCTTGAATCCTCAAAAAATAAAACTGCTTCTTTGTCTTCATCTCAATCGTCGTAGGTCACCAATGTGAGAGTCGTTATGTATACGAAAGTATAAACTCCACTTGCATAAAATTATATAAAATTTATTCATTATAAAATATTACTGATATGAAAATATAAATGACAAGACCAATTGTTTTTCTACAATCACTAGCCTGCTTGATTTCCCCACAAACTGATAAACAGTATTCAGGATTGCCACACTTGTGCAATTGAGTTATTGGAAGATCCAATTGGCAAAGATGAAGCTTCTTGGATTGAATATGAGGATTACACAGGAAATTGTCTAAAGGTTCCAGGTACAACATTTTTTGATTTATTTCAAAAATGTTGTCAAGTATTGGATCATTTCATATAGACACTATGCACTGCAGACAATATTAAACGAAAACTATTAGAAACACTAGAAAAGTATGTTCTTCATTAATATAGTTTCAGTTGCACTAAGCATAATTTAAAAGCCATTTTTTCAAATCTATTGTAATGTTTTTTTATTAAAAATTGGTGCAACAGTGTTAATCGATGTCTCACGGGAAGATACGTCAATTCTAATGAACAAGATATAATAAAAAGAAAAGCTATGGATAAATATAATAAAACTCTGAAGTCTAGAAGAGCTTTCTGGCGACAAAAAACCCTTATGTTTAATTTTTTTATTTGCTTTTGTCACTTTTTTTTACAACTCTTATTCGCTCGAAGAACATTCTTTTCCAGTATCTTTCTGGATAGTCATTAGTATATATTATATGTATTATGTCTATATGAAATGTTACTTATACTCATTTTTCTGTTACCTGACGAAATTATATGTATAAGCTTTGATTCAATTTCAAGATCATTCATTCTTATGGTGATAAATTACTATAAAAAGTGTTTCTCTAAAATTCATATGTTGTTCTTATTTTTATTTATTGTTGAATATTTCATCTGCATTGACTTCCACAAGCCATGCAATTTTTTGTATGTACATTTTTATTT